CCCGCGCTGGAGCAGGCTCTTGGCAGGACCTGTGGACCCGTGGAGAGAGGAGCCCAGGCTGGAGCAGGTTTGCTGGCCGGGCTTGTGACCTCGTAGAAAGGACCCAGGCTGGAGCAGTCTGTTCCTCAGGGACTGCATCCTGTGGAAGGGAACCACACAGGAACAGTTTGTGAAGAACTGCAGCCTGTGGGAGGGACCCCAGGCTGGAGCAGGGGAAGAGTGAGAGGAGTCCTCCTCCTGAGGAGGAAAAAGCAGCAGAGACAACATGTGATGAGCTGAATGCATCCCTCATTTCCGATCCCCCGGCACTGCTGGAGAGGGAGGAGGTAGAGAAATTAAGAGTGAAGTTATGCCTGGGAAGAAGGGAGAGGTGTGGGGAAGGTGTTCTAAGATTTGGTTTTATTTTCTCATTATCCTACTCTGATTTGATTGGTAATAAATTAAACTAATTTCCCTAAGTTGCATCTGTTTTGCCCATGACAGTAACTGGTGAGTGATCTCTCCCTGCCCTTATCTTGACCCACAAACATTTCGCTGTGTTATCTCCTCCTGTCCAGTTGAGAAGGAGTGACAGAGTGGCTTTGGTGGGCACCTGGTGTCCAGCCAGGGTCAACCCACCACATACAGCAAGACAGATAAGACTTCTTGCAGAAAGACAAACATGATTCCACTCCATTATCACCTTTTTATTGTTAAAAGGACATATCTTGACAGTGGAGAAAAAAAGGATGTTTCACAAGGAGAACAGGAAGTAGCTTCTACTGGTCTTTCAATTCCTTCAGTCTTCTGATCGCAGATTTGACTGTCACTGCAGAGGTGGTACTGGAAAAAGAAGCAGAGTCATTTGCATGTGGCAGTAGAACAACCCATGCCAGTGTTATTTTTTTGAGAAAGCACTAATCATCTCAAATAGTTATTGTCTGATTGCATTGTTAATAGGGAGCCAATTTCACTTTGATTCTCATGACAACAAACTGTAGGCCTTTGCCTACAGAAGCACACACAATTTCACAAGTTACATCTTAACCCAAATTATCCAGTCACGCATCAACTATGTGCACAAGCGTGTGGGTTCAGATTCCGAGTGACTGTTCTATGTGGGGCAACAGTGTTTTCTACCAGAATTGCGGGGGAAGCAGAGCGAAGAAGGGGAGTAAGCAAGGGCACCACCACAATAAGGATTATAATGATTCAATGCGCAAATCATGGAAATAATTTTTCTTGGAGTAAACATGGTTTTGCCTGTCATATCTGTGTCTCCAAACTGAAAAGGCTAGGGTAGTAACCACAAAAAAAGGCAGTTTAGGCTTTGAAAGAGGTAAGAGTTCACTTGCACAATTAAGATTTTTATACAGTCAAAAGAATCAATAAAGGAAAAATAATCCCCAGACCAGAGGCATAATTTATCAGAAGCTGATGAAGCTCTTTTTAGAATAGGTCGGAGGGACACCTGTCAGCTGTCATCCATACAGATGATTCCACCCTGAAATAGCTGGATGAACCAGTCATTCTCTCTGCTCCTTTTCTTCCAACATGACCAACAAATTGGCCCAAGCATAATCCCTCATACAAACAACAGCTGTAGTTCACATCTCCAGTAAGAAATACTACTACAGCCAAGGCACAAAAGAGACTACCTAAACAAAAACATTTCTTTCAGTATTTGCAGATGTTTCAATTTCTTTATTTGAAGTTTAGGAAAAGGTGCAGAACTTGCATTTTTGAATAAAACAACGGCTTTGATAAAGCCCAGAGAGAAAGAAATTTTGGAGGGACCCACCAAAACCAGCAGCAGTGATACGACGGATAAAATGCAGTATTCTCAGAAGCTGCACAACTGATACTGGAAAGAATAGTAATCAAATCCAGTTTGACCCATTCCAATCAAACTTCAACAATGCAGGCAAAAAAACCCCACATATCACTAACTCAAGACAGAACTACTTAATAGTCAGTAGATTAAAAAAAAAATTAAAATAAGAAGCTGTATTATGCTTCAGCTATGTGAGAATAAACACTGATAGGAGCATCTTCATTTCCTTACTTGTAAGTCCAGGCACCACCAGCAACTGTCTTCATGCAGGATCCACAGTGCCAGATACCCACAGCCTTCCTCTTCATTTTGGTCTGTAATAGAAGAAGAAGGAAGAAAGTGTACTCTCCATCAGCTGAAAAAGCCAAATAACAAACTTCAGGTGATTACTTCAGCATCACACCACAGCATTCCCTATAAGCCTAGTTAAGACAGGCAGGGATCAGCGAATGCTTTTATTCAGATTCTTCAGAACAGGGTAAGTTCTTCTGAAACATTTTTTCATTCAGATATAAAGTGGGTCATTTCTAAGCGCATCATCAAAAATTCAGCTCTTCTTGCAGAAGAAAAGCAGTAAGGAGTTACATTGGTCATAATAACTGACATTCTCTCACCTGGTTTGATGACCAATGCAACACCACTGTTAGCAGTGCTCCCTGATCATCCCAGGATTACTCTAAACCAGTCTCTCTTTGAATAGCATCTAAACAGCCAGTGGTGGGTACTGAACTCCTTTCACCCGGGCAAGTCTCCATCTCCTCGCAAAGATGGCAATGGGTTTGCCAAGACCTATACTGGATTTAGGTAGTTCTGCAAATAGGGTTATCAAAATGCTCACTTCACATGAGAGAGACACTAAATACAAAAAAAACTGATGGAAATTTTTTCAATTTCCAGCCACTTAAAGATATCTACTTTCAGATATCAGTAATAACTATCTGGGCAAACAAGCTGATAGGCCTCTCAAACGGTCAAAAAACAGATTTAAGTGTGAATTTTCATTATGTACGTGAGTAGATAAGGTTACTTCCTATCAGAAATTCTTCCCCATCCAGAGTTATACAGCACAGAAATATAAGTAAGCAACTGCAATCAGAAGTTTTAAGTGGGAAAAGCAAGCTCTCTTCCTGCTCCAGGTAAGTTGAAAAGCTACTGAAAGAAAAAAAAAAAAAAAAGCCCAAGTCATGCCTTAATTATGAGGATAACAAGTGTGTTGCTTTAATTCTGTAAGCTCTTTTTATTAGATATCTAAAACATGTAGTATGGCAACATTTCTCATGATTTTGTGTAATAAAATACAATTTATGCTTGTTTGCATTTAACTACCACTAAATATCCATGTGAAATGTCTACTAACTCTTTTTATTTTATAAGGGATTCTGACATTAGCCTAAAACTCACAATAAACTAATCACTGTCTCAAAACTTATCCAGTTATCTCTTCAGTAGAAAAATTACCAAAACATCAAATTGCATTTCTAGCATCAATAACAAAGTTATTTTTGAAGACTTCTTTTAGAGGAGGTCTCTCACCTTGCCACAGAAGGAGCAGGTATACTTGGCATGCTGGCTAATTTCAATCTTCTTCACCATTTTCCTAAGGGACGCACCGTAACGGGTACCATATTTACCCACAATCCCAACCTTCTTGGTGCGCTTAGCCTGTTGGGAAGCAAACCAGAATACCCTTCAACTTTACTGAGACCACCATCTCCTCGGCTGCTCCCCTCTCCTGACACGACAGCAAAGCGCTCACCACTCCAAAGCAGCACTACAGCCGACACCACCTCTCCCTGACGTTGTAAATAAAGCATTAGTTATGAAACGGCGAGAGGCACACGCTGCCAACAGCCTCCCAGCTTCTGCTGGGGCCCTTCGGGCAGAGGGCCGCAGTCTGGCAGCCACGCACGAGAGAGCCACGTCCTTCCTCAGGGCCAGCCCGAAACGCTGCTGCCG